TAAAAAACATTCTGTTGCATAATTTGATTGCATATTTAATATATAGCTTTCATAACATTTGCAAACTATTGTGAACCAAAAATTCTAAGAATTTCATGTTAAATTTTTATTTTATTTGTAGTTGAGTTTATAAAATGTATTTTATTAAAAAAAATCTGTAATGCTTTTGTGCATAAAATTTTTTAATATTAAAATTTTCATCAAATTTTTGGTTCAGGTAGAAGATAGTGCCCATATAAAGAATTCCATCAACTTTCATTACTTACAATTAGACATTTTTAAAATACCATGCGCGCAAGGTTGAAATATGACGAAATATTTTGTCACAAAGTGGATTAAATTACAAAAATATTTGTGGCAACACAAACTTTCTGGTTACTAGTTTCCAAAGCAGCTATATTACGTAGTCAGCTGTAAAACGTTGGAAATAATTGCTTTTAAAATAAATAAGATATTCCAATTCTTGCAACAGTCACATATTTGAAGATCGTAAGGAGTTTAAGGTGCATGAGCCCCCTTAAAGGCAAACAGCAGCTGGATGAAGACTCGCATGAAATGCAGTGGCAACTCTGCTCACTTACTCTCTCTGTCTACTCTTGGCAAAAATCCACAACTTAAATACTTAGGCATTAGCAAGTAAAATTTGCATAAACAAGTTAATGCGTTTAAATCTGGCCGGAAGTGGAAAATAAGGGAGGATAGTAAAGTTTTTTAAAAAAATAAACGTTAGTGAAACTTAAGATCCTTACACTATAAAGTATTTCTCCCACTTTTCTAACGTCCTCCGTGGTGTAGTGGTTCTGCACGCTGGGCCAGTATTCCAGAGGTCCATTGTTCGATTCCCGGCGATGGCGGTTGCATATTTTTCATCTCTCTGGCTTCCAAAAAATCCTAATGTCTCTACAGTGGCGAACTAAAAGGGTTGTGGATGATGATTCTCCACACCCAGGATTTGGCAACTAGGTCCCCTAAAACCCTAGTCACCCGTTAAAAGGGAGTACATAAGGTATTTCTCCCACTTTCCTGGCATCCTTCGTGGTGTAGTGGTTCTGCAGGCTGTGCCGGTATTCCAGAGGTCCGTGGTTCGATTACCGGCGAAGGCGGTTGCATATTTTTTCATCTCTCTGGCTTCCAAAATATCCTAATGTCTCTACAACACTGTTAGATCTGTCACCGTCTGTATTGACAATAAATTTGTGTAAAGTTCTAATTTTATCTGCTTTACAATTCTTCAATGCAACGTTAATTTGTTTTACTTCACTTAGAATCATTGTCAAATATGAAAACAAAATCTACATACCTTCTATCTTCGAAGTTATTTCAATATGTAATCTTACGTAGAATTTCAGTAATTGCTTGAAGCATTCTATAATCCAAACTTCTGATATAATATGTAGACTTGTATATCCCACTTCTGATATAATGTGTGGTAATAGCTTCTAGAAAAGAAATCTAAGAAACTACTTGAAAGGACAGCACGTTTAATTACATTTAAAGTATTTACATCTTTAACAAATAAGTTAGTTTCTGAATTAACTTCTTCAATACATTTTTATTTACGTCTTTATCGTCGTCGTTCACCTTAATGTGTCAAAATAAGCGGACGCGTCGGGAAACTGGAACAGAGAATTGGGACTATGTTTTTACATAGTTTATTTAATTCATTAAAAAATTTGTCGCGCACAGTTTCAATTGTCTGTTTCGGCAAAACGCGTGATGGGGTTAGCTTAGTTCGAATTCATTTTAAAAAAATTTCCCTTGACAAGCCAAAATGAACTAAGGCTAATTAACCATTTACCGCTTCTTAATTTAAATTTTTTATTTTTACCTCAATCAATTGATTAGTATTTTACTTTGTTTCATATCTACTTAATTCGTTTAGCATATACTTAACTATTTTTATTTTTACCTCGATCAATTGATTAGTTTTTTCTGTGTTTTAAATCTACTTAATTCGTTTAGCATATAGCTTACTATTTTTATTAATTTTACTTGTAAATATTCATATGTTGTATATTTCTCCTTTTTTTCACACATTTCATAGCAACTAAATATGCTTATGTTGAAGTTTTCACGGAGCCACAGTTTTTGGTAACTTTTTAGCGTGCGCACTAAAATTTATCTTCTAATTTGCTTAATTTTGCAGCACAATAAGCAAAATTTTTGACCACAATGTCTTTTTTCGTATGTTCTTACTACGTAACTTCAAATTATATATATATATATATATATATATATATGATATCATATATATATGATATTTTGCAGGAGTCTTGGCACATGAATGACAAAGCTTGGCATTGTGATGGCTGAGTGTTAAGTCGGTATCCAAAGACGACACAGGATTTCACTCTTTACTATTCCATATCTTTATTTCAATTTCAGAAGCATATCAATGTTCGTTACTAAATAAGACTACTTTAAATTTCCTGCGTCATACTTTGAACAAAGAAAAGCAGCAGCGAGGTGTTGTAGCGCAGCAGGAGAGGAGCTTCTGTTATTGCGTGTGTCAAAATAACGCGAGCTCATTATTTATACTAGCGGTTACGTAATAAGCTGGCAAGTTCTGAAAGGTACTGGTCTAAAGGGGAGATTCTAAATTGCAGAAAGTTAATTGGAGGTTGTTTGTTCGCGTAGAGCAAAGCCATCGTATTTTTTATATTTTACATCGTCCCCCCCTCAAAACGAGTGGCCGGGCGAGCGAAGCATTAGTACATTAGTGAAGCCAGGAGTATGAGAAAAGACATGAAAAACATCCAGGACACAGCTTACAGGCTTTAACTATGCCCTATAATAACTCATAATCTTTCTCATATAATTACAAAATTTTGAGTTATATAGTTTTACAAGAGAACTTATTACAGTCATAAAAATCATGAATTTTTCTCAAAATGTCCATGGAAAGTGAAATTTTAGTTTTAAAGTCCTTTCATAAAAATATTTGAAATTCAATGAAATACTTTTTAAAGTCTCCTGATGCCAGTAAGTCCAGAAGATAAAAATGAGCTCACAAATATGATACACTTTTTTCCAATAAATATGGTTCCATAATAAATTCTGAATAGATCTTCTCATTGTAGGTAATGAACAATATACTGACATAATTTAAAAATTCCATACAAAGCATTATGATATAATACCTTTAGAAAACAATTCAATATAAATAATAATATGATACAATAAGACATTAACACTTTGAATCAAAAGTTTGGCATGTCCTCTTCAACAGATCAGCCTGACTAGCTTGCTGATGGTTGGGAGGTGCTAGGTACAAAATATCAAAAACTTCCGTTGCCTAATAAAAGGTAACTGGTTTTGGGCATTGTACATAGTATCAAAGTGTTTTTATAAAAATACAAAATCCTACAAAATTAAAACTTAAGACAAATAACTTGTATAGTCTAGTTAAAGCCTTTGCTAGAAATTTAGAAACTAGAAATAAATATTACCCTACAACAAGAAGAAAGAAAGAAAATTTGTTACAAAATAATCTAAAATTATGTGAAAAAATATCTCATCAAGACATGAGATATATAATTTTGAAACATACAAAATATAAGCTTTTGAACAATAAATTTATAATACGTAAAATTTTGAGTTCAACAATAATTTTTAGATTCCTATGAAAATTTGAGTTTTTAATTCTGTTTATATATACGTGACATTACTTTTTTACTAATTTCTTATCATTAAAATTGTGTATTGGATAATCAGCGACATACTGTAAACGACATAAAATATGCATAAAATGTAAAGCATAGCTTATGAAATAACGAGAATACTCATTAAGTTTGTATTTTTATGTTATTAATAAAATACTTTTTAGATTAAAAATGCATTAGAAACTATACTTTCATTGAAAATGCTACGTACTGAAACATTTGAAATTTACGGATTTATTATTATGCACAATGAAAAAGATTTGTATAGGTATTCATTAATATAAATCTTATTCATTACATTAATACTAATAATACATCAACAACTTTTAAACCATCGCGTCTCTCTCTATGCATATGTAAATATATGATTTATTAGATGTGTGTTTATTTATATGTATATATGAATATAAAAATGAGCATTGCGAACCTGCTTAATTGAAGTTACTTCTAATTCACATAATGATCATGTAATTGGCAGCAACTGTACTCATCAGTTCTTTGCACATTATCCTGGCTGTAGAATACACAGTGAAAAATAATTTCTAAGCGTAGGCACGAAAGAGTGTACACGTTTTGTGTTTGGAATAATACATAATTATATCCTATGTATGATTTACATGGTATAAGCATGGCTCATGAATAACAAGAAATTTAACAGCTATGCATTTAAAAACATTTGAAAAACTTAAAACATACGGTGCACAACTGATTATCACTTTTATGTGTGTTTTCGCTTTCCATCACCTTTTTATTATCTTCCATAAATAACAAAGAAGTTTAAAATGAAAAGAATGTGAGCGATACAATATACAGGGTGGCCCAGAAGTCAGTTTACATTTTGAAAATTAAATAACTTTTTTTCTATTAATATATTTCTTTTTCTCTTTTCAGAATTAAAAAATATAATCCCTGGAAATTTTTGGCATGGATAAGTTTACAACAGAACAACGAGTGAAGATAATTGAATTTTACTTTGAAAATGGACGGTCAATTGTTGCAACGCAATATATGCGCCATTTTAATGTTCGACATCCCCCTAGTAGGCCTGCAATAAGGAACTTAGTGACGCGTTTTCAAGGTTCAATTAGTGCAATCTTTAAAACCAGCAGACTTTCAGAAACGAGTAAATTATGCTATCAGGTTTCAGAGAACTGCAAGAAATGACAATGAGTTTATTCACAAGTTGATCATGGGAGATGAAGCTCATTTCCATTTCAATGGACTGTGAATAAGCAAAAAATAAAAAAGAATTAATTAAATACAGTCATTTAAGAAAAAGTTATTTAATTTTCAAAATGTAAAGTGACTTCTGGGCCACCCTGTACAAGACGGAATTTGAAAGCAAACGTCTCTTTCGCCAATCTGAGCGATAACTGATTCCTATTTGGCTTTCAAGCTTTTACCAAGTGAAGATGGTAACCCAGTTACGTAGGTTTCGCGGAAATGGAGGCTCTGAGAAATGTTTCTTTCGACGCTGTGTTCCGGTAGCAATAGTAAACGTGATAGCGGTTTTAGGCTAGCGCTCATGGCTTTGCTATATTCAGATAGCCTACCATATCCTAACGTAACGTAACCTAATTAATCCCTATCATCATGAAGACATCTTAAAAGCAAGAAGTCTTAATAGTTATGCATGTTCTAAATTCCCCAAAGCTCTTTTGTTAATATACCGTAGACGAAAACGAGTTTGATCTCGAAACAGCACCTTCGGCATAGATTTGTATGAAATTTTATTTATCTGCTAAATAGATTAGTACAATTTCAGACATTTTTATTTATCTTTTGAAGCCATCCTATTTTTAACACGTGCATTGTTCAGACAATCATAATATGAACCTTTTCCTGTAATACATTCAATGAACGCAATAAAAAAGGTCATTGAGAAACACCGAAATTGAATTTTATTTGAAATCAAAATATTTAGCTTGATGTGATGAAGATAGCAATGCAATTCTAATTATTTATAAATTACACAAATTAAATATGATGTGGAATCATTTTCTGATAAATACAAATGTAAACTAAAGTGAAGTGTCTTAACATAAAAGCATTAAGCTTTTTTTTAAATATCTTCATACACTTTTGAATTTCCATTCACAGTTTCAAAGATTTATAATGTATCTCCATGCAGTGGAGGTCTTAATCGATAATGTCGATGATGTCTAGGTGACCGCCTCACTTCACGAATCTGGAGGAAATCTATAAAATGAAAAGCAGCAATTACGGTAAAAATCTAAAATTTAATAATAGTGAAACAATGGATTAAATTTGAGAAAATATTTGGACATTTTATTAACAATTTTATGTAATATTTCCGTACAGGATTATTCTTTTATTTCTCATTTTTGAAATACAGATAATATGGTAAAAATTAAATGCATGTAAAATATTTTTCCTTTTAGTGGTTAGAGTTAATGAATTTTATGTCTTCTGAAGCTTTTGATTAAATAAAGATATGGAAAAACTGTTTCATTTTCTTCAACGTATTTATATTTATATTTTTTATTGGTGAAATCTAAGAAATCAGCTGTTTGCTTTTAATTCTGAGGCGCATACAATGAATTTTGATGGTTTACTGTAAGTTACAGTGGCTGTTGCAATAATTCATTTGCGAAATAATTTTGGAATTTGAAAGCACTAATGAATGAAGAACGAATAATATATTGTTGAATCTGAGAATACAGAATTACTCACATTGACAGTGATGCAAATGTGCATGTGATTGACATCTGCTTCAAACCATAGAGAAATATATTCTGTAGGAGATCCGCTAATGTCCAAGGTTTTCAAATTGAATATAACCATCAGCGCGACTTATTTTTGTTTCTTATGACAGCAATCTTATAGCGTTTTTGTATTTCGATTTTTTTTAAATAGCAGGTTACAAAGACAGAGGTAGACAAAACAAGAAAATATGAAAGAGAAGAACAACAAAACTAAAAGCAGTATAATCTATAAATCCACAGTATAATTTATATTTATCCAGAATATAATTTATATTTATCCACAGTATAATTTATATTTATCCACGGTATTAGCTATAAAGTTATTTTATGCCTCGCCCCCCAATATATCTCCTGGAGTGATCCAGCCTTAAGTGCTGGGCAATTACTCAGATGTGAGGCGTCCATGTCCTCATAGAAGTTGCTTAACTTACAAATTGGGCTTGGGACACTGTTAATTCAATGCAAATGTTGCAAAAGACAATCATGGCCAGTAACAAGACAAAAGAGAGGAATATATTTCTTTCTGGGCCATGAAGGACTGTCAAAAATTCTGGTAATCCATATTTTATGATTGTTCCTTTCAGTAACGTCTTTCCAAAAAGATTCTCTGTAGTATTTCTATTGCTCTTTTGGCAGTGTCAAAAGAGGGACTCATACTCCTTAAAACCTATAAGATCTTCGAATATGTGACTGTTGCAAGAATTAGGATAACTTATTTATTTTAAAAGATATTACTTCCAACTTTTTACAGCTGACTACATAATGTAGCTGCTTTCTGAAATAGTCATAAGAAAGTTTGTATCGACACAAATATTTTTATAATCCGCTTTTGACAACATTTTTCGTCAAGTTTCCACCTTGCGCTCACAGTTTAAAACATTCTGTTGCATAATTTAATTCCATATTTAATATATAGCTTTTATAACATTTGGTAAATACTGTGAACCTAAAATTCTAAGAATTTCATGTTAAATTTTTATTTTATTTGGAGTTGAGTTTATAAAATGTATTTTATTAAAAAAATCTGTTATGTTTTCGTGCATAAATTTTTTTAATACTAAAATATTCATCAAATTTTTGGTTCACTTAGAAAATAGTGCCTATCTAAAGAATTCCATGAAATTTCAAGTACGTACCATTAGCCATTTTTAAAATGTCATGCGCGCAAGGTGGAAACGTGACGAAAAATTTTGTCACAAAGGGGATTAAATTATTAAAATATTTGTGGCAACACAAACTTTCTGATTTCTATTTCAGAAAGCAGCTATATTATGTAGTCAGCTGTAAAAATGTGGAAGTAATTGCTTTTAAAGTAAATATAATATCCCGATTCTTTCAACAGTCACATATTCGAAGATCGTAAGGGGTTTAAGGTGTATGTGCCCCCTTAAATAATTATTAGCCCTTTTTTTTTGCCAACAAATCTGCCTTTTCATTTCCATGAAGTACAGTTTGATGGCATCCATTGCATGCTAACGTCTTTGCCATCCTCAGCCATCCAAGTTGTTTAGTAACTGTTGGCATTTTAAAACATCAACAAACATTGGTGAACCAAAAGATGAGTAGCCTTCAGAATCAGAGAGTATGATAACCTTTGAAAAACGTTCAAAGTGACATTAGAGTTGGGCATTCCGATATGTTGTCCTGGGTATCTGACATTTTGATTTTTCATAAAACTCTTAAACGATTCTGCTCTTTGCAACTAGCTGTGGAAAACAAAGCAGTAGTTTAATTAATTAGAGAAATTGAAAGCTGCTGTGATTTTAAAGCATATTTCTGCTTTAGTAGAAAATTAGCTTCAAGTATCGGATAAAGAGAAATAGCAACGGATATTTTGCAGATATCGCATAGTCTTTGACCGCTATTCTTTATAAGGATATATGTTATAGTGATTCTATACAGCAATTTTATATTTTTAGAGAAATGGCAGGAATTAGATTGATTGCTATAACATACTATGGAAAATTAATGATCTTAAAAAAAGGTTTAGATGAAATACATAAAAGGTAATTTTTTTTTCTTTTAGAAATTAGGCAATAACCATTCACGTTGAAATCGAGAATTACTTTGACTGTGAACTTTAGAGAGCGAGTCAAATTTAACATAGTGTTAACGTACTCTCTACAACAGATTCGTATGCGAAGTGTCTTCGTATGGGAATCGTAGATCGTATTTCGGTGATAGGGTGTAGAGACATTAGGATTATTTCGAAGCCGGAGAGATGAAAAATGAGCAACGGCCTCGCCGGGAATTGAAACACGGACCTCTGAAATACGCGCCCAGCGTGCAGACCACTACACCACGAAGGCATACCAAGTGAAGAAGGTAACCCAGCTATGTAGGTTTCGCGTAAATGGAGGCTCTGAGAAATGTTTCTTTCGACGCTGTGTTCCGGTAGCAATAGTAAACGTGATAGCGGTTTTGTGATAGTTAATGCTGAAAAGGCTGGAGAAATACCTTATAAGAGAAGATAAATCATCTTTCCTTCCGATGTGATATCTCATTTTGATCAAAAATGAGTTGGATTTCTTTGGTAAGAAACATACCGCTATCAAGATACAGCGTACTACTACTACTACTGTAGAGATACATTGCCAATGCTTCTAGAAATGTCAAGAGTATCGAATACATTATTAGATTCAAATGAATGTTATTTTTAATTTGATCAAATAATAATCTTTTTATATTTCAAATAGAAGAGGGGTGAAGATATAAATGGATGTAGGCAGTTTTCGTCACACTTTCTCAAGATTCACCATTTTGAATAAAAACATAACTTTCAAGCCACAGACGATAATTTTGACTTAAATAGTAGAATTTTGAAAACATAGTAGAATTGCAATTACTTCTTTTGCAGCAAACGATATTTTATTACCGCTTACCAAAATCGTCTAAAAAATGTGCGAACAGCCTCTGTAGCAAACATAGTAAGCACATACGAGGAATCAAGGAACAATTTGTTTTTTAAATTTTGTCAATTTTCACCAATATTGAAATGTAGTTTTCGACATAATCCCCATTTAACTGAGTACATCCCAGCAAAAAAACTAATTTCTTCAAGCTATCTTCAAAGAGAGTTTTCTTCCATTCACCTGCATGGTTAAACTCTCAAATCGAAAACCCTGTAAAGATTCTTTTCAAATATGAGAGCAGATATCGAAATAAAAAGCTGCGAACAGAATATCCCTTGCAGACTTTTAACAATTTCTGAAGTTTAAACACCTTCTTTCCATAAAATGAAAATACGTATTCTTCATATCTTACATGGTTGCAAAAACAATGCTATGCAGAATACGCCTGTATCAGTCAAAAATCTTAATCGCTCCCATTAACATTGCACCAGGGAGTTGCATAAGCATACCAAGATTTCTGGCCGTTAGCATTTCCTGTAAGTTCTGGGAATTTGAACTAGAGCTCAATTCCTAAAATTTTGGAAACACATACTACATATACGTACTACTATACGTACTACATATACGTACTACTATACGTACTACATATACGTACTACTATACGTACTACTATACGTACTACATATACGTACTACATATACGTACTCCGCTAACAGAATTAGATATCAAAATATTATGCATTGTATCCGTTACTGGAATACTGTTAATGTATTAAAATGAAACGCGCATTCTACAAGATAATTGAATTCTGCAATAGCGAAGCAAAAGATTAAAGAATATGACTCTCAGTATAAATTTAAATAAATAATTGTTTAATATTATTAGTTTTATAGTAGCAAAATAATTTGACTTGTATGAAATGCCAATTACCTGTGTATCGTTTTGATCCAATAGTCGTAGTTTCTACGTGTTTGGTGTAAATGGGATATCCTTCATCAGGGCGCACATCCTTCCTCAGGGCATATCCTTCCTCAGGTGGCAAAGATGTCATGGTAAAATTACTCATTTCTGTTTCAAAAGACTTTGTTGTATCTAGATATTTATTTCTATCAGAAAAATATTCGTGGCTATGGACTGTACTTCTCTCTTTCAAAGCTGAATGAACTCCGTCTGTAAATAAAATAAATAAATAAACAAACATATAAAATAATAATAATAATAAATAATAATAACTTCATTCGAAAAATAAATATATAAAATCGAAAAAAAAAATGTCCAAAGAGACGTGTTTTTCATTTACACATACATACATGTTTCGAAAGCAATTTTGGCTTTGTAATGTTGCGCGCTTTCAACCTGCACGCAACAATAGTGGTGACTGCTAAGAACTGGAAAGTAGACCAAAGTCTTGAGAAGGGTTTAAATCCCTTTTTATTCAACTTGAGAAATTACAAATGCGTGCTCTTGACGCTCACAAACTACGCCGACCCGGCGGTAAAATAAAAATAAGAAACTAAAAATGAATAATAACAAGTGACTACCTACGAGGCTCTCTAAACGTAACTATCCTAACCGCGTTCTAAGATACCGCTGATATTTCAGCAAACTTCTGAATATTAAGTTGAAAGATTCACCTATCTGCCGAGGCAAGCACACAGGCCGAAACGCGTGATTCTTTAATTTCTACCTAGCCACCTCCACGCTCGTGAAGCAAGAAAGCACACTTTCGAACTCGTTTCCCTTCTATTTAACTCAAATTACTTCCGCTGACAATTTGAATCCTTGCGCATTCTACAAAAATTTACATACTCTGGCATTGGCAATTCCAGGGGAAAGTAAGGCTTGACAGGAAAGACAGTTTAAACTTAAAATAAATGTTAGTTAAAATAAATATAAACCCTACAGCTTTTAAAATTTAGACAGAGTCTCTTGCGCAGGAGATAAAATTATTTTATTCCATACAGTGTGTTGCCACTGCTCGCTTTGAAATCTTTGAGTTTTTTATGAGTCCCTACGTTTGAGTACTCCATTTTACATTATTTCCTATGTTTTTGCTATGTATGTTACGTTTTACTGGTATGTTCATACATGTTTTGCTATTTTTAACTTTTATGTTTACACATGTTTGTTATCGTTAAACTGTTGGTAAGCGTTGGAACTCACTTTATTAAATACTTATTTCTTAAGTAATTAATTAAAGTCTTCATTTGCGACTTTACATTACTACAGATTTAGGTGCGTTTTATGACAATGTTTTTAAAGCATGAACTCAGGAATTTAAAATGGCACATAGATTCTGATTTGCAACTTTTAGAACCATCAACTGCGCCTTTTGTTTATTATAATATCGTAACTAATATGTAACAATTAGTAAGCAAAGCAAAAGTTGATGAATTCAAGATGATGCATAATATTAGAAAAGTTTTTCATCTGTTGTATTTACTGACTAGTTTTTAACATTTGTTTGTTTTTATAGCACCATGTGTAGGAAACCAAATGTCTATGAGGGGGCAGTCAAACCATCTATGAGGTCAACGATTGCACAATATGAAGTCTAATACAAGGCAAATTTTTCCACATTTCTTAAAAGGAATACGTTCATTAGGAAATACGTTCATTAAAAAAGCAGAATGTGGCTTTGAATTTCAGCGATTGGAGGCACTTACTCCGAACTCTCGAGAATTATAAGCCATAAAAGGGGGATATATCAGAATTCAAAACAGAATGAATCGTGATTTTTCTCAGCCTGATGTATTTGTTATCATGACAACGGTATATCTAAGGTTACAGTACCCAAGACAATATCTGTATGTGTAGAAAAGCGAACAATTAAACTCTAGTTTCAGTGATATCAGGAGAGCAAAATGTGAACATTACGCAATACAAAATGTGTGTTGGTCTGACATGAGTCTTCGGCGCTGATGTTTCCATTTCTGGAAGATTTTATGCGTGCACCAGTTATTTCAGTGACACCTGATCCTGACTCACTTTCAAAGCAAAGGTTGATAGGTTAATGTTTGGGCAGCTACGTCATGGAGTTCCCAACAGGGCTTATTCTTGAGGTTCATATTATTGTCAGGGATTATCGATGGACCGAATCCATCGAGTTGTTTAAAGTTTGAATTTCTAAGGACATGCCTTGTGTGAAGGTAATAAAGCATCATTCACAACGCAAAACTAATGACAAAATGGTTTGAAAACATCAAATTATATTTGAATATTTCTCCACATCTTGCACAAGTAACGATGGAACCTGTCCTAAGTATATAAGAGAACACGATGGAACCTGTCTTAAGTATATAAGAGAACACAATGGAAGTCCTAAGTATATAAGAGAACACGATGGAACCTGTCCTAAGTAAGAGAAAGCTATTGAGAAACTCTTTTCTAACCTCTTTCCAGGAAGTGAAATTTCCACTGATTTGCAAGAGGAATGACTGCAGAAACTGCATCGGTCATTTCCAAGGAACATCGTTGAAGGTGTCGCCTGGACGGAATAGTGGTTAGGGAAGCCTACTACGGTACTGAAGAGCCCGGGTTGAATCCCGCAGAAGACATGGATGTTTGTAAATGTACAGTATGGGTGCCGCATGGCGACATCCTAAATATGCGGCGAGCCGAAAATCTTCTCGTGTGGATAAGTGGAAGGGGAGAGGGGTAGGAGACACCCGGATCCCCCCCACCCGGTGTACTCTCCCTCAAAATTGCGGGTGGAAAATAGGAGTCCAACCTTTCTTCCGAGAAGTAGCAGTGGTTGCCAGAGCCATAGTAGGCTCCAGCAACCATTGTTCTATGTAATATGACCAAGACAACAACAACATCGCTGAAGGTTTGGCCACTGAAAGAGTGTCTGCACCGTAATAATAAAGTAACACGCTCTAGGTACAGGTGTCTCAGTTTAATTGTCCAAACCCTGCAGATGTAGAATTCCTTTTAAACAATCCGAGTAATTGCACATAACCATTGTTATTCCGGACACCAAAATTAAAATTGTGAATTGTAGATTGAATACACATTGGATTTGTTATATGATATAAATTATTAGTATTTATTCATAAGAACTTACCTTCACCTTTATTCGTCAAATTTGCTTCAAGAAACTGGTTTTCCATTATATTTGCATTCTCTTCTTTCACTTGTACCTGTTCTCTCCGGTCAGTAGAATTTATGAGCTCTGTATCAGCAGCTAAAGTATGATTCGAATTTCCATTCGTATCCTGATATTTCATGAAGTTATATGAATCATTTCTTCTAGAAATGCTATTATTGGATTGGTGACTGCGAAGATTCCGTTGAATATCGTCGTATAAGTTTTCATTTGCATGACGAAGTTCCTCATTTATTGCATTATGTATTTCCTTTTCGCTATATTTACCATTGTCTACATTAATACCATTATTTTCTAAATCGTTTCCTATTTCATAATCTTGGTTGAGGAATGCATCATAATCATTGGTGAGGCCGACAGAAGAGCTAGGGCCAAAATCTGAGTCCGCATCATAATTATCGAAATAGTATTCTTCAGGGAAATAATAATAATCGTCCCCATTTTGTACATCATTTCCTTTAAACGGAGCTTCATACAAAGTCGGATACTCAATCATAGGCCTTTTTCTAAAGGTATTTTGAAATTTTCGGCCGCGATACAAACTGTCAGCAGAATTACGGTTTGCTAGAGAAGTATCAAAACCTCTTTTATTATTTGAAAGGTCTGGTTTCAATTTGGATGCTTGCAGTTTAGGATTAAATTGCCCTTTCAACGTCTTTGAAATCGCTGGCTTATTTGGTATCTGTTTTCGAAAATTATGATTGTTATAGTAATTTTGATCTATGCTATCTTTCCCTTTTAAACTTGATTTTAATCTCACATACGGAGGCTGAAATTTAGAATACATTTTAAAGTTTTTGCCATTGTTTGTTCCAGAATTACTGCCTCCTTCAAGATTATAAGCTGTACTTTTTCTGTCTTTAAATTTTGAATAAGGTATTTGATGCGCTAAGGTAAGTCGTGTTTGAAACGACTTGGGCGATATTGAATAACTATCTAAGTGTTCAACGTTATCCTCTGTTTTGGTGGATAATGGAGTCATATTAGCTTTATCCCTTGGAAGTGATTTCTCATATCCTGATAGAGATGGCTTTGAAGGAACACTGAGTCCCTTTCCTCTTTCTGAAACTTTTACTGGAAACTTAGCAAGCATATTGGCCTTAAATTTACTCATATTTTCCGGAAATTTACGAGGGAGACCATATCGGAATCCAGATTTCAAATTTTCGTTAGAATTTGCAAAATGTTCATCATTATCTCCATCTAAGTACTTTTTCTCATCTTTTTGTTTCATTATCATTTCATGGAAAGTTTGCTGGTCGTCAGAAATTTCAGTTTTCCTCTCTCCAACAACTCGAGAAGTTTCGTTTTTCAAAGTGCCTTTGTTACGGAAGAGTGTACTGGTCTTTCTGACTATAGTTTCTTGCTTTGCAAAATTTTCCATCGGTTTAGGTTCCTGAACAAAATGACGTGTTGCGTATTCTGAAATTTGAAAATAATGGCTATCAGAAGGTTTGCTATTCGATTTATTGAATCTCGGATATTGTGTTGTTATTCGACTGTTAGGCAAGGGTGCCTGGACATTTTGTGTCGCAATATTTTCAGGGGTTATTTCTTGATGGTCATTTACAAGCGTATGAAATCGAGTGGCTCCTATGCTGTCTGGGACCATATTACCTCCTTTCATTAAATTTGATTTGGGAAGTCCTAATGTTACACCGCTTCCCGGTATCATTACCCATCCATTTTGCAAATGCACGTTTTGCCCTGGAGTGGTTCCAGGGAGTTCTGGTTTTACTTTTTGCAGTGCAGGTACTGAAACTATTTTTTGATCATTATTAAAATGAGGTTCTTGAAATGCTGGTTCTATGACATTTTCGTGTCCGCTTTTTGAATATAGATCTTGAAGACGTCCACCTAATGCACTTTCTGTAAGTAAGTTTCCTTCGTTTTCTTGATGTCCATAAGGTGGTGATGGGTATTCCGGAATCAACCCCTCGCCATTTTTCGTATTTGACTTTTCAAGTTGAGTTGCGATATATTTTTGGAGCCCTTCCTCATCGCTCATTAAAACAGAGCTCTCAAGAATGGGTGTTACTATACTTTCAGGATATGATTGTTGTTCTTTATTTAAATTCAAACTTTGAAGCGGAGGAGAAGCAATATTTTCATAAAATACATATCTACCGTTTAAATTTTCTGCGGACTTATCAACTGGATTTGGTAAGTCTTTATATTTCGCTTCAGAATCTGGAATTTCCTCCACCGGTTTGTAGAAGTTTCTGTTATTATTCAACAACGATTCCTTATAATGAATATTGGAGAAAATCCAAGGTGATATTGTAGTCAAGTACTTATTCTCTCCAGAGATCTTTATAAAAGGGGAACCTTTTGCATTTAAGAGAGCTTTATATTTGTCCATCACTTTCCCATAAGCTTGAGAAATATTTTCAAAGTTTTTGTATTCGTTTTCACCAAGTGTCGCAAAATTTTCCATAGCTGTTGGATTTTCAAAATTATTATCGATATTTTGGTTTATGTAGTTATTGTTCGTATTTAGACGATTACCTTTTTGTTCAAATGGAAAATATGCATTTGTTTGAAAAGAAAGAGATGCTTGAGAATCATTTGCAAAATTTCCAGCAGTTTTAACATCAGATTCATATTGAAAGAAATTTATTGCATTCATAGGACTCTTTCCAGTTTCAATCTGAACACCATTACTAATTAATCTGTTGTTAAAATCATTTTCCGGCAAGTGCTCGCCTTTGAAACGAATTTGATTAAGAAGCCTTTGCTTTTCGTTCTCAACAATATCGGTTTCTTTGAGCAAATTTTCTCCTTGAACAATAGTTTTCTTTGACTTATTGTCCTCTATTATTCTCGATATCTTTTTATCCATCTCCGGAATACTGTTCGCCCTCTTCTGGATTTTATCACTTTTCTGAGATGGTAAAGGATTCTTTGTGCTTATATCATCCATTGTTTTATTTGTTAGAAGATCTTGATTATTCACCACACTCTCCTTTTCTCCCATATCTTCCACCATTTTTGAGATTTTTCCGTCTTTGTTGAGAATTCCGTCTTGTAGGTGACGTTTCAGCTTCATTTTTTGACGCGGCAAAGAGTACGTTTCAAATTCTCGGTCTATCCTAGCATTTATTTGATATTTTGGAAAATTACGTTTAATTCCTTTGTTCTGGTTATTATAAGTTATAATATCTTCTTCATCATTCCCGAAAGAAGGTTGATCCGATTTCCTAGGAAATTCACTCGATTCATCATAAGATGCTTTTCTAATACCTAACGGCCTGTTGACAAAACCTGGATCTTCATCATTTGAATTTTTTACATAGTAATCTTCATGTATTTGCTTTACAGAGTTTTGTTCATTTTGATATGAAGGTTCATTGACATCATTCATTTGGTCATTTCGATATGAAGGTTCATCGACATCAGTCGTTTGGTCAAACTGGTATGAAGGTTCACTGGCATCAAACATTTGATCATTTTGATTTGAAGGTTCATTGATGTCAGTTATTTGATTTTGATATGAAGGCTCATTGGCATCAGTCATTTCGTCATACTGATATGAGGATTCATTAATATCAGCCATCTGGTCTGTTTGATACGAAGGTTCATTGATATCAGTAATTTGGTCATTTTGATATGAAGCATCATTGAAATCAGTCATTTCATTATTTTGATATGAAGGTTCGTTGACATCATCCATGCTGTCTTCAAATTTAAGCTTATAGTCATCTTGTTGGTAGCTTGAAAGTGGAGAGAAATCTTTAGGTTTTGAATCTGAAAACATTTCACGCCTGTTCTGATTAAAAAATTCATCATCGTTATAGCTTCTGTCTTTTATAGAGCTTGCATGTTTTGGGTATCGAATGTAATTTTTATCTTTTGTATCGAATATTGCCATAGAATTTCTTCGAAGGGAATGCGCTTGAGTAAATAGAGTATCTGAGTATCTATGAGTACTTACTACTTTCGAAGCTGAAGGTAACTTTGCTATTTTATCATATAACATATCGTCATGTGATACATCTGATAAAGGCATGGCATTCGAGTTATTTTTGCCTAAATTATCATTCCTATAAATGCTAACATCTTTATTTTGCAATTTATTTAGGCTTACATTATTGCTTAAAGGTTCATATGAGTTTGAAATTTGAACTTTAAATTTCTCATTTTTTCTGTTATCCTCTGAAATTACGCTAGAACTCATTTCCTTGATCTCAAATTCAGTGACATCAGTTACAAAATCCAATGACTTGTTAGAATTCTTGTCATCATAATCGCTATCAAATACATCAATAGAATAGTTATTTTGGGTCACATTTTCAGATTTAACATTTGCGTTATTTGCTGATTGCCGACTACGTCTGTTATCTTGGTAAAAACTGAACTGGCTAAAACTTTCATCTTCATTAAATTCTGGCTTTCTAGCTGGATAGTCAACGCTCTCATCATAGCTGTCTGATTGTTGCTCATCTTCTGTATAACTACCACCCATTGAAGAAGTATGCGAATGGACTGTCTGAAATCTAACTTTAGGTTCCGGTTTCATAGCATTCTGGGTTTTTTCATGAGCTGGTAAATATTCATGAGATTTCTCATTAGGTGACAAATTTTTGTGAGACGAAACATCTTTGTAAGGATTATCATAAGCAGATAAAGGTTCATGAGATTTTTTATAAAGTGAAATATCTTCATGAAATTTACCATTAGATGGAAAATCTACACGAAATTTTCCACCAGAGGATAAATTGTCATGGGGATTCAGTTTAGGTAGCAGATCATCCTGATGTTCTTCGTGAGGTTTTCCTTGAGTTAGCAGATCATTATCATGAGGTTCTTCGTGAGATTTCAAATCTTCTTGAGGATTTTTGTGAAGTTTTAAATTATTATTAAGCTTTTTGTGAGAGGGTAATTCCTCCTGAAGCTTTACTTGAGATTGCAAATCTCCACGGGATGATAAATCTTCAAGAGAGTTTTCATGAGGTGATTTATCTGCATGTGGTTTTTCATGAGGTGACAAATCATTATTAGAGTTTTCAAGGGGTAGAAAGTATTCCTGAAGTTTTGCATGAGGTAATAAATTTGCTGTTTTTCGAGAATCCAAGGAATTTAGTTTTATTTCAGATTTTAATTTATCACTCTTAAATTCAGAATCTCTTTCGTAATATTTCATTTCTGCAATATTTCCTTCATCATCATTGGGAGGCAAAACACGTCCTTGGTTTGAAACACCAAGCGGCTTCCGCTGAAATTTTCGAAATTTTTCTTCTTTTATTTTTCTATCCACTTTATTAGTGATTACATTTCGATAAGGGTGGAAAGGTTCAGGTAAATATTGTTTTTTATTGTTTTTACGATTATTCAGAGTTTCAGGACTATGATTTCGAGGAGTATGAAAATACTTATTGTTTCTATTATAGCCTTTCACATCATACGTGGATTCATGTTTGATGGCGGGTTTATTCACAGACATTTTTCTCACAATTGGTTTCCTATTACTAATTTTATTCTTCGATGAGCCGGAATTTTCCTCCTCTGAATAGTGACGTCTTTGTGAAGAAATACCAGGCTCTTCCCCATGAAGCACTGCAGGGGCAACCGCTTCTCGTTTTGCAAATCTCCCGAAATGGCTATTTTGGAAAATTAGAGTGTTTTGTGTATTAGTTTTATTTGGGCTTATAGTGTTGATTTCGTTTAAATTACCCTTCACGTATAACCCTATTTCCAGTTTCCCTTGCATGGGGTGCTCAAAAGGCTTCTCGGTCATGTTCCCATTTATTTCATTTTGATTGAAAGAATTATTTGATTCAGACTCATGTCTCATCGTAAGAGATCTTCTGAAGCTTAAAACAGAACTGTTTTGATTTATTTCTCTTTTCGATGGAAAAGTGGATAGTAGTAGGAAAGCTTTATCATCTCTTCTGGATGCGTCTGCTTTTTCTATGAAATCTGCAATGAGATTGAATAATTATGTTCCTGTTTACAAGCATACTAATTGTTAATGCTGTAGTTATTAAATACTTAACTAAACTGGCCGTATTCACCGGAAAATGCACCTGGAATAGTAAAAGAACATAAACTAATTTTTAAAGCTTTTCTTGAGAAAGAATATGCACTACTGGGCATTTGCTAAGGACGCAGTTGCAATATAAAATAACATTAAATGGGGGAAACGCTACGCATGATAAAGTATTGTTGCCATACCTTTTGGACATGGACATTAGAATAAGGGGCATTCATAAAAAATACTGAAGGTTTGGAAACATCCTAAAGGAAAATGCAAAAATGTATATGAACGGCAGCAGGCACCTTTAAAGAAGTTTCACTACTGGATACACAGGATATATACACCGTGAAATGCGAAGAAATTTCCCTCGAGTCATGTCATGTTTTGTACAACATTATCCAGCACCCGTTCAGTCAACTTATTCCATTCCTCTGTCTGTGCACGGATGAGGGTCTTCTTGTTGTGTTGAAGGATATTTTCGAGACCAACAAGCGTCCTACCCTAAACAAGCATTTTCAATGGTGTTTGGATCTGGAGAATGTGTTAGCCTTACGAAGTGTCAAATAATCTGTCTAGAGAATCATGAACAGCAAGTGTTCGATAACATAGTGTGTTATCGTCCATGAAAAGAAATTTTTTAGCGAAAGCATAAGGAAATAAGCGAACATGAAGCAGAGGAACTTCACAAGCTTCTCGTTGGTCGGTCATAGTCACAGGTGCAACCACTCCGTGTGGTGATCGATCATGATGCCAGCCCATAATGTGATACTGCATCTTGAATATCCCTTTAATATTTTCCAAACGATAAGAAGTATCATTCTCACGCCAGATCAGTTGGCGTTTACTATCCGATGGCAGACTGCACCTACTCTGATTTGAAAATTGTATGCAAGCCCCGTCTTGTTAAGTCTAATTGCAATGCTAACGACACCATCACAAACGGGCTGTACGGTACTTTGTAAGCAATCGGACATACACAATAGATTTGTAAAGTATTATTTTTCTTCTACCGAACGTCTGACCACAGTTTTTTGGTAGATCAATCACCATGGTCCTGTGCTTATTCTCCACCTGTTGAGCTGTGATATACAACTTTTTTTTTTTTTTTTTTGCCAATAGGATAAAGTACGCTTCTTCTCCAGGCTTTTATATCTAACACAACCTCCTTCGTTGCTGGTTGCATGACCCAGCTGTTTCAGAATCTTTTACAACCATAAAAGAACGATACGGGAGATGTATCGTAAAACGTTTTCTTGGTACAACTGTCCACACGCGTCAAATCCCTTAAATAGTTTATTAACGCTACCACATGAAGAACATTCGAGGTACTTATTTTAGTTTCGCACATTTTGCGTCCTTTCATTTTGTAGTTGTTATGGGGGATACAGTTGTTTGTCTCTAGGAATTTTCCAGCAGTACAGCTACTGATATGATTAGAAATTCAGAAACACATAAAATGAAACCTTACCTAACAGACTTAAACAAGCTGAAACTGAAAAATATAGAAGGGTTTCAGATTACAGCTTACCGTCATTAAATATAGTTTTAAAAATTAATTTAAATTTTCCATTAAATAAAGTTTTTTATAAATAAAAAAGTAAATAAAAAGTAAAGGGTAAAATGGAATTACTATTTAATCTATCTATACGCATTTAAATTTAACACCTTACACAGTTATAAGCTAGCACCTATCATAGGCCTACTAGATAAAGAATTAGTCCACAGGAAATTAAATAGGAACACCGTAAAATCTTGTATTTGAAATCAGCTGTTCAAAATGTCAAAGGATGAAAAAATATCATGGCATTATTTCATAGTAGATGAACTGATCTATTATCTATCTGTGCTGATTTTTGAACTTCTAGAGACTATATGATTTTCCAGAGCAGGGAACACGAAAACAAAAGCTTAATGCCCCCGTGGGTTTGTGCTTCGGATTTTTCCTTTTACTAACTTGACATGCATGAGACTCTATTTGAACATCCGCGAAGGGAGTCCGACAATTCCTCACATTCAACCTCTAACTAAAATCTGATGTGTACACCACATGACTTCCTTCTACGGAATATTAAATTATACGCATTTTTTCCTGCATTTCATTTAAACTTATTGAATTCTACTTCGTCAATAGCGCATAAACGACAATAGAATAAATGTACTAAAGGAATTTCTGCCGAACTAGGTGGGAGAAATGTATTAAAGATGTTTTTTGATGATTTTGATTGTAAGTAGTTTTCGTTACACTTTAAAATGCGCGAAAATAAAGGTTTATGCCTTTAATTTTCAGTCCTGAGTTTCGTACAGAGGCTGTTCACACATTTTTTAGATGATGTATATTGTATTCACAAAACTAAATTACATAAAATTCTTGTGTTTTAAATGCTCTATTTGACATCCCTTATTTTGAACTATCTTTCGACACCGCAATTTCCAGGATAATAATGCCTTTTGAAGTGACAGAAGAGGTATTCTATCCCATTCCTCCCGAACAGCTTTCCAGAGTTCTGTTAGGGTTTGGGGACAACGTTTGGATAATGCAGTTTTTAAAAATCCGAAAGCACAAAAATCCATAGGTGACACATCGGGAGATTTAGTAGGGATATCAGTGAAGGGTATGGCCTTGATACCAGTTTTTTGGTCCATTTCTTTTAGGAAATTTACAGTGGATTTTGATGTGTGACTGCTAGCTTTGTCCTGATGGAGTCTCACAGATGGATGGCACTGTGGGTAAAACGATGGTATTTCATTCAGAAAAATTGGCGATAAAATATGTTCCTGTTAGTATTTGGAGTTAATCTTGACATTTTTTGCACTCTCTTTATTTTTAACTTGTCATTATAAGAAAAACCAGCAACAATCATGAATCCCTTAGAAAAACTTTCTTTCGATTCTTTGAACCATGTACTTAAATTTTTTCTCCCCTTTTATGATAATAAATGGCTCTTTTTTTGTTACAATCATTTAAATATACCCATGCTTCATCTATTGTGACAATTGTTTTCCAGTTTTCTGTGGATAAGTGTTTCTCACATAGAATTCTACAGCGTGTCCTGCGTTGAGCGATATGCTTTGGAAGAAGACGATGCACATTGCGTTTTTTCGCCTTCTTAAGATTTAAATGAACGTTTATCATTTTGTTTACAGTGAACACCGAGCATTTTAAGGCTTTTGCATTTGTCCTTTGACTAGGGGGATTTTCTTTTAACATTAAACAACGTACCTTTGCAATAGTCGAAGATGTCCGTTTTTTCCTTGGATATGTGTTTGGAATTTTATCCCACGTGAGGCTCCAATTTGACGTTTTTTTCTCTTTCTTGTTGATGACATTACCTACCGACGCTTTAGATATCACAAAACCATGACTCTCACATCGTTTTTGGATAATGGAGTATGCATATTTCTCTTCGAAAAGAGCGTAAATGTAGCTTTCGAACCACTGCTTTGTGAAATTCGCCATTTTGAATAAACAAAGCGTTCAAGCCACAGACGATAATTTTGACTTTTAAAAACATAGTGCAATTGCAATTACTTCTTTTGCAGCGGAGGAGTTTTTATTACCACTTACCAAAATCGTCTAAAAAATGTGCGAACAGCCTCTGTAATAATATGTGATATTACAATTCTAACTGTTGTTTTAATAGCAAGGATTTTTGTATATTAACCAGACAGCGTTTCTGTAATGGAAAAAAGGAAGCTATCTACCAGTAAATTCAATAGCTCTAGGAGCAAAATATTTTTCCGCATATTTTACTGCTTAAGTATCTCTAGGTTAAAAAAATTGGCGTTATTATTAACTTTTTTTAAGTTATTCCTGGCTAAAATGACAACTGTCATGACAGGTTGGTAGCTCACGTTGATTACTGGGCAAATGATACTGGCAAGGAACCACATGATTATAATGAAGATTTAGGCCCCAAAAATGTCAGTTTGATAACAGTAGAAAATTTATTAAAAGGCTCTTTTTTCATTTGATACTATTACTTCTTTTCTGCAGTAGAAATAATATGTGATTAATGTTACTGAGTAACAAAAGCAAAATTTTTAAAGTTATTGTATAAAGAAAATCAGTCGAATATTTTAAGCTACAGAATAAAATACTGAAACATGAAGCTGATTACACATGCATTCCAAATAAATACTCTCTTAATTCCAACTAAAAATATGACCATACAGTTAACATTGGTACTATTCTGTTTTGAGGGCCGTAAAAAAATTGCAGCGAAAATGTATGCGCAAAAGCACCAAATCTAGCAAACGCGCCCATTTAACAGCGCGCCAAATCTAGCGTACGCGCTGATTTCAGATTGCGTAAGTTTATATAGTTCTATATTTCTTAAGACGCCATTGAAATACTAGTTTAATTTTTAAATCCTCTTTTGATTTTAAATCCTTTTTGATATCCTATGGATTTAACAGTTTGGGAATTGCCCATGACGAAAAGTCGGCAATAGAATTTTGGGTAAAGTGCAGAATCACCCACTGCTTGACGCATTTTTAAGAATTGCACATATAACTCGGTATCCATGTGCGCATCGACCTATTTTCACTTAAAAAAAAATCCTAGAATTGCACAAAAATGGCGCTGCGCACACCCTTGGCTTTATCTATGTACGCATCGACCTATTTGCACTTAAAAAGTAAACAATTAACAAAAATCTAATTATTTTTACCCTTGTAAAAAGCGGCAAACAAATAAGTGAACGATTCCGCACTTTACCGAGAATATTTTCAAAGAAAAGGCATCATTATTGTAGAAAATTACTTTTGAACAACCAACGAGATAAAAATTATGCTTTAGCGATAAGTCGGTAGCGAAATAGCGATGCAGGCATCCATTCAGTTATGTTTAGCAATTTTTATATAAATTATAATAATGATCTGAAATAGTTATTGACTCTTATGCTTCCATTCAGTCATGTTTAGCCTTTTTCATGTAAATTATAATAATAAAAAGTATTATATGAAATTAACCTTTCATCTTAATTAAAACATCAATCTTAAATAGTTATTTATTATTATACTTCCTTTCTTGCCGCAATTATTAGGGTTGCCGCAATTATTTTTGGCAGCATTGGCATCAACAACAGTTTGGCGATTTTTTACGGCCCTCGAAACCAAATAGTACCGTTACATTAAACTACATATTTTTCTGTAGATTACAAAATTAGGTACTTTTCCGTTTCGCCGGCGCAAATCTCGCCAAGCAGACTTTATTGGCGACAACATACAGTATACACATAAAAAATGTTAGCTCTAAGAATTCTTTTAAAAAAAGAAGGCATAAACATTTTAATATCGCTTAAAATTTTATAAAAAGCCAATAAATAAAGACAATAAATTTGTGAAACGACATTAATTTAAGAATTTACTAAGCTTTCATGGTTCAACATCCTGATTCGCCGGTTCATATCACGTAACCCCAAACGATCTCAACTCACGTAAGCTACTCTACAAAAATCTAATGCTCTCAGTAATTATCTACATTAATTTCAAGTTAAATCTTAATTTGGAACACAAGTTTAAATGCAAGAAATATTTCAATTCGTACGAATAGCTTACTCAGAAATTATGTAAAACTGCAGTGCTTTACTTCGCTAATGCATTCTCATTAGAACTGATGAATTTTAACCATTGACTCTACCTTTTCTATATTTTCGGCTTCCGGTAAGCGCGTGATTGCATCCTAATTGACTTAATTACCGAAAATGGCCTTAGACATAAAACTGAACTATCTGATAAAAATTCTATGTATTCTATATGCCAGTATTGAAAGAAACAATCAATCTGATAAGAAAAAGCTGCGACTTGTTTTGAAAATGATGCGTAGAAGATTACCAGCGAGAATATTCCGTTTGGCATCGGTTGTACCATTATTGGCGACTTTATCGCTTGCGCCAGCAAAACGGAAAAGTACCCCAAATTATCTGTCTTTGATTATAAAATAATTCAACTTCAAATTTGGAAACGCATTTTTAAATCTTTTCAAAAGCACAAACTTCTTACTTAAATGATTTCAAAAATTCAGGAATGAAAATTAATTCTCATTTAAAGTCCAAAGTAAGTTTTAAGTGGAAACCTCTGTGATCTATAATACTATTTTACAGAAGGAAATGCAGAGAAATTGTTTGGTTAAGACTTACTGAGAAAATTTTTGAAACATTCAGTTCAGCTTATCAAAATTTCCAATTATATAATTTCAAGTAATTGACACTCTGTTATACGCACCTTGTAACTAAAAGCAAATTTATATAAACAAAACACTTTCGCGTCTGAAGAAGAATGAAAAGAATTTTATGAAATTCTTATCTTTCTAGGATCGAATTTTAATGAAAACGTACATTCACTACTTGAAACTAAAGAGAGAAAATTAAAGTTATTGAGATGTTTTTCATTACTGAAAAAACAGTACCTCCTTACGAATAGCATTTAAAAGTATAAACCTACTTTTGCTCAAATTTGCACATTTATTAGTTTTGCTCTTTGCGATACATTTCAAATAAATCTAATTCTATTAAGGTTGAGGTTATTTCATAGCATGCACCACTTTGCTCTATGTTAAGCTTTCCGTCAAATGATTTTCTAACTAACATTTACATTATACATTTAGTGAACTACACTCATGTCCATAAATTAAGGATAATGCAAAATCAGGCAAAGGGAGAGTTAGAAGCAAAACAAATTTGACTTATTCGTAAAGCTTATTTATTAAACAAAAGGTAAAGAGCAAAAAAAGATGCTATATGTTTGACGTTATTAAAATAATTAGCGATTTTGTCTCCCTGGAGCAAATTACAAAAAAAAAAAAAAAAAAAAAAAAAAAAAAACTATTTACAAAAAACCAATATTACATGGTTGGTATGATTGTTAATACATTGTATGTCTCCCAGACGATGCAATACAGTCCGTACAACGCCTAGGCATGATGAGTATCAAATTATCGATCTGATCTTGGGGGATATTACACCACTCAAAAAGCAATGTTCTCCGAAGTTCAGGTAGACATGTAGGAGGAGGTTGACCGGCTGCAACTCGTCGGCCAAGCATGTCCCACACGTGCTCTACCGGATTCAAGTCCGGTGAGAATGCTGGAAAGTCCATACGGGGGATATCCTCCGATTGAAGGCATTCGCTTACGATGTTTGCACGGTGAGGACGGGCGTTGTCATCCATAAACACAAATTGTGCGCCCATGGCGCACCGAAACAAACGTACATGTTGTTCCAGAATGACGTCCCGATAGGTTTGGCTTATCATGGTTCCAATTTGAACATACAAGTCAGTTCTGGAACCGAGAATAATTCCACCCCAAACAAGCACTCCAGCACTACCGTAACGGTGTCGTTCAATGATGTTTTCTTGTTGGTAACGGGTACCTGGAGCTCTCCATATGAAAGTCCGGCGAGAATCAGACTGCAAGCTAAACCTGGATTCGTCGGAAAACATCACACAAGCCCACTGTTGCGGTGTCCATAATGCATGCTCTCTACTCCAGGCTAACTGCAGGCGACAGTTAGTTGCGGTAAGCGGAACGCATCTGACAGGTCTACGAGCATATAGACCAATCTGCCCTAAGCGTCTGTACACGGTCTGCCTTGAAATTGTCGTACCAGTGGCTGAAGGGAGCTAACGAGACAGGTCTGAGGCTGTGCTCCGCCTGTTTCTTTTGGCAGTAACTGCCAAATACCGGTCCTCATTCGGCGTTGTAACTCTGGGGCGACCTGTGCTGTAACGTCTACTCACATTACCATTATCTTGGAATCGTTGCCAAAGCCAGGAGATGACACTCTGGGCAATTCCAAGTTCGTCTGATCCTTCCAGTTGGGTACGCCCACATTTCAGACGGCCGATAATTCTACCACGTAAAAAATCATCCAAATGTGTCATTTGTGTCATACTATTCGGTTATTGCACTGAAATGCTTATAAAGCGCCTGCGAACAATTTTACTTCTTTGCCTGTATTCCTTATATATCACTCTCTCTTACACTCTCGTCATTGTGACGTACCATCGGTATGATCTGGTTACTTCCTGAAATTTGCATGTGATTCTTGAAGATGTTTGTAGTGAATTTACGGGTGGTATATTTATTTTAGAGTCCGATTTTCGCGGGACTCCGAATTATCCTTAATTTATGGACATGAGTGTACATTAACTTGGATTTAAGTAATCGGAGTATCTATAGTAGTATACGTCATAGAAGTGTACGTAGTAGAAAATCTACTTACCCAATGAAGAATGTTCATTCTCTGAAAGAGATTCCCCAGTTTCATTTTCAATTTTCTCGAAGGGATATGCAAAATAACTTGACTGAATGCAACATAGCAATAGGATCACTTTTATCATTCTACCTCTTTCTGCGTCTAGCGGACATTTACGCCTGCAAAAATAATGACAATTAAATGCTAAAAACTCTTCTTTAATTTGTAGAGTCATTAGGTATTTGAAAAGCGGGAGGGATGAAAGTGAGCAACGCCCTCTCCAAGAATCCAACCACGGAGCTCTGGAATAGGCGCTCAGCGTACTGACCACTGCACTACGAAGGCCTGCTAAGCAGGCGGAAGAAATAACGGTGAATCTTCGGATTATGGTAAATTGGCGAATTTTTGGGGCAAATTTTGGCGACCAACCCTGCTACAGCAACCTGCTAGTTTTTTTTTTTTTTTTTTTGGACGCCATTTTGTTTTTACGAAGTAAAGGTATTTCCCCCCCCCTCCAACATTTTTTCCAACAATCTGTTAGCCAAAGTACGCTTATACTACAACTTTTATGGAACAAACGTGCTTAATCATGACGAAGATTAGGGGCGAAATTGGGAGAAAATGCAGAATCGCCCACTGCTTCGCGCGTTTTTAAGAATTGCACATAGGCGGTATCCACGTACACGTCGACCTATTTTCACTTAAAAAAAATCCCAGAATTGCACAAAAAATGGCATTGCGCACACGTTTGACATTATCCATGTACACATCGACCTATTTCCACTTAAAAAGTCAAAGAAAATTGACAAAACTCCAATTCTTCTTTACTCTTGTAAAAAGCGCCAAACAAATAAGTGGGCGATTCTGCACTTCACCAGCGAAATTATTTCTAAGTGCTTATTAGCTAAAATCACGATCGGAATTTTCCAGAAAATGTCACATGACACGTATCATGATCTCTCATTTCTCTGAGACAAAATAATCTGTGATTCGAACTGTGTACTTCTCAGATTATTACTAAAGTCCTAACCTAGTAACCTTTATATCGTCTTACCAAAATGTCGCCAAACTACCTGTTACCATATTCCAAAGATTAGCGGAAATAACTTATATCTTTCTGGCATTACAAGTAAATGCCTTAGTAAAACTTTTTTTATGTGATACTAGATTTTTAAAGAGATATATTTTAAAGTACTCTACTAACTATGAGCTGTAAGGCAGCTGAGAAGTATAATTAATTTTATAAGAAAACGCTAAAAATAAGATGCAAATATTTTGTCAATAGACACATTTTATCGTAAAAATAACGGAAAATAAGGATTAATAGCAAGTATAAAAGAAATTAATACATTTTTACACTTGGATGGAAATCCGTCAGACTTTTACAGATTAAGGTATCCAACTAAGTTCTAATCGACAAAGTCGATGACATTTTTCGACAAAGTAATTTTCGACAAAGACATTTTTCGACAAAGTATTTTTTAATCGACAAAGTATTTTTATTACTGTATTTTAAAGGTTATACATCAAACTTCCCCAAACCACTTTTATTTTGTCTCTGGAATCGTTAGAAATGGAACCTGTTCTATGCCGCGAACCTGTTCTATGCGCGATTTTGGCTTAAGAGCTTACGGAATGCTGATGTCGAAAGCTATACTGCTCTAAATAACTTTAAAATGAAAGTTTTGCATTTTAATATTTTTGGTGATGTTCAAAAGACGATCTTAAACCTTTCTATTTCTTATTGAAGGCTCAGGAGCAAGATCAGTTTTTCAATTTAATTCCCATACTTGGCAATATTTGTTTTTCTTTCTGTTTTGTGTTTGCATTACATTATACCTATTTTTTGAAAACCTTGATTTTTTTCAGCTTTTCTGTTACGAAAAAAGTTTAACTTAAAACATTATAGCAATTTTATGAAACTTTCCACAAGTATTTTGTGAAATATTGTGAATAAAATGGGTAAAAAATTTAGGTTTATTTGCATATCTAAAACGTTTTCGGGCAATTTTATAAATAAAAAGAGAGAAAAAATAAAAAGAGAGAAAATTCGCGAAAAATAGCTAGTGCCCGTACACAAATAGGTATATTTCATAGATATTTTACTTTACCACTTAGATTTCAGTCCATTTAATTCATTGTACCTTAATAAATATAACTGAAAATATATGTGAATAATAATAAGCATGTAAAATTAGTAAAATAAGTAAGTAAGTAAATAATAGTAAATATAGTAAAATGTTGATAAATATTTTTGTGGGAACATATTTAGTAATTCTGAAATTTAACACATTTTTAACCCAAAATGTAAGAAAAAGCTTAAAATTATGCTTTGATAATATGTTTTTCAGCTGTTTTTATCATTTTAGGTAGTATTCTTTTAAATAACACTAGAATTAGATTTATTTATGCTATTTTCCAAAATTTGGGTGTGGAATGTATACGGTTACCTTAAAATAATTTTTTAAAGACGACCTTTTGAGTTCAAAGTGTACAGATATGGGTAGTATATAACGTGTGAATGGAGAAAGGTGCAAGCAAGTGTTATTCCAAACGAAGACAAATATAATTTTATACCAAATTTAAATACAAAGAACAAGTGCAGCATAGATTTACGGTACTGAAATGGATTAGCTATTCAGTGAATTTTGTAAGCAGAATAAAATACGAATGAAATATAAGATAAAGGAGCTTTTGTACTGAGAAACATATATTTTCTCTAATGAATATTCCTAAATTTTCATAAACAGTTATTTATTATAACAACTTTCAATATACCTTGTGCCAATATAGATGTTTAATTTAAATTTTTCTTTGCTAATATTTGAAATATATATTACAGTCGTATTCTTGACATTATTACTTCATCAGTTTACTATAGTCTAATCTATAAATGACACATTTAATTCCCAATTAAAAAATAATTAAAAATTTTAATTACCCCGTAAAACTTTGCAACTCACAGTAGCTACATTTGCATTCACATAAAGGCTAACTTTGGTACAGTTTATAGTAAGAAGAACGATGAAGTAACATAACGTATTAAATTTGTATTTATACCGAACTGAGATTTTGTTGCCAGATGCTATTTCTAAATACAATGCAACTCGTAAATTATTAAATGGCAAAACATATAACATTGTTTTTATTAGAAAATCTTTAAATTCTTTATTTTGGTCATGGTTTGAACTTAAAGTAAATTCGAAACAATAATAAAAAATATTTATGATTTAAAAAACATCACTTTATAGAGTAGAATTTATGCAATGATTTATATGTCAAAATATAAATTTTTAATTAATGTTAAAAAAAAAGAAAAAAAAAAAAAGAAATTTTGGCAATACTTCGCAAATGAAATATCCAAGTACAAATATAATGAATACACGTGCGACGAAAGTGAATACAATTGATTGTTTGCAAAGATTATGAAAGCTCTAGAAATAATATAGACTCATCTTGAAATTCAAGTATAATTTTGATAAGCACAAGCTAACGAAGAAAGAAGCTAAGATCCCATAGAAATCTATAGACATCTAGCAAATATCAAACGATAATAATGTTATTTTATTCTTCATACGTGATACTAGACCTGCTCAAGTATTGTTTTCAAGTAGATCTAAATAAAATTCTAGCTGCATGCTAAATATTCTAAGATAGTATCTTAGGAGAGCAGTTTCAATGTAAGCGACCTTCGCAGATATATATTTGTCAGAAATATGGCGGTGCAAAGATCTCAGTTTCTGTTATTTGCAGTCCTAGTTTATATTATTTCAATTTCTATTAAACATGAGAGTAAATAACGCAAGAGAAAATCTATAAATGGAGCTAATTAATTCATAATGTCATATAAATCTTATTAAAAATTTGAAGCTACAGATTTTATTAAGTTTTATTCATTGCTTTCAAAAAATAAATAAGATTAGTATGCATTTTTACACTAAAAATAATCGGTATTGTTCCATTAAGCACTTTGCACACATTTTTGGATGTGCATGCATAATGAAACGTACAGTATGTGAGTCAGCCATCTATAATCTATTCTTATAACTAGTAGAAATTATCTCTACATATAATAAAAGAAAGAGTCTGTCTGACTTTTCGTTCGTGCTGCGCGTAAGCTAATATACCCAGGGCTACGAAATTTGGTATATAGGTGCATCTAGACAAGAGCCAGTGCACCTCGAAGCGATTTTTTCAAAATTCGAATCAGATTTTTTTTTATTTTATCTTTTCGATATTATCGCATCCTTTTGAATAGTTTCATTTTTTTTTTAGAAATGTGGTTCTGGCAACAGTTTTTCATTCAGTTGTATACTGGACTGTTGAAAATCATCACTGTTGGCACTTGGAAAAATGATAATTCTGTGCTGTTTTTAAATTTAATGTTTCTCTTGGATACTAAACGTTTGTTGAGAGAAGACAACAGTTGAGGGTTAATTTATTTATTAGGATAATTAGTATTAGGAGATATTGCTTATTTCATAGTAATTTTGTTATATGTAATACATTTTTCTAATTTTTTTTTGATGAACTTGTTCTGCAGAGTAAAATTCTGCGCAGTTTTAAAGTTTAACGTTTGGTATTCCTTTCAGGCATTTTCCGGTACATTTAAAAGCCTGACAAATGCTGACCGATTAGTTGCTAGTTTAACAATAAAAAAACGCGCCAAAATTACGAAAAAGCACCGAATAATCCTTTTGTTTGGGTATATATTTATATATGAACAGCATTTTTCAAAATTGGAAATTTAAACGAAAAAAATCTGATGTGTACACCACATGACTTCCTTGTACAGAATATTAAATTTTAAGCATTTTTTCTTGCATTTCATTTAAACTTATTGGATTGAATTAAATCTACTTCGCCGACAGCGCATAAACCACAATAGAAAAAATGTATTCTTTAAAATTCACTCTAGTATTTGTTTAGCATAGCGACACTATGGCGCTAGATTCACTTAACAGTATTAATAATTATATAACAGTTAACTTATATAATAATTATATAACGGAAACTAAGTTTACTGTTATATAATCCAATAATTATATAACAATTAACTTATATATTTCGTTCATATTATAACTCATAATGCACAAAATTTATATCATTTAAAGACTAGAATTATCTAATCGTTGCCACATGTTCTATTCAAATACTATAATAAAGCTAGAACGATGTATAAAAGAAATTAATCAAACAAAACAAAACAGAAATAGTTTTTCACAGACGATTGAGTATTTCTCATTTAATTAATTCACCTCTCACTTCGCGAGAAGGCAAAAATACATAAAAACTCAAAATATCTATATTAAAAATTACGAAGTAAATCTCAAACGCTTATTTCCTCGAAAAAATTCCAGAAAGAATTAAGCATGATTTATTGGCAATAATAATAAATGCGTATCTTTGTTGTTGCGAAGCTAAGTTTTCTCTAGATTGGCAACAAATCCATAGTCTCCTGTTTCAAATGTAAACACAAGATCAATGGCCGCCATCAAGAGAAGTATTAGGCTTAGCGGCAATTAAACAACTTTAAAATTGGTTGGTAATTCTAAAAATTGCATAGAGATTTACTAAAGGCATAAAAACCTTAACCGGAAGATAAGCACAAACATAATTCAATCATTTTTAAAGCAAAAAATGTACACTTTTACAAACATATAAGAGTAAAGAAACTGAGATCACTGAGCCGGGTAATAGAGTGGATATATATATAAATATTTATATACGTTTGGTGCGGCCGATTGCAACCAAAATACGAGGTGCACATCTACATGTTATAGCAGTCCTATATACAAAATTCCGACGTTCTTATGCTACTCGTTTTTGAGTTATCCGAAATATGTACGTACTTTCGTACGTATTTCGGATAACTCAAAAAGTAACTTTTTTTGAAGGGAAAGAGTATTTTATTCTGTCCTTACGTACAGATATGACTCAAAACCATCGTTAAATTGCATTCGATAGCGGTCAAAATGGTTATTTTCGTTGAAATATGCTGCTTGAAACTTTTCACGATTACAATACTTCCTTTTTACCTCGTACAAGGAAGTAAAAAACAAGCAATTAACTGATCAACATCTATAATCCAACGTCAAGACAGTTTCTAGTAATTTCTCTCCAAGACTGCAAACTTTATCAGAATAAAAATTCACCCAATATAAAGCAATAAAAAGAAATTAAGAAGTGCATAATTATGCTCACACAAGCATATGTATTTTTATTTATGTTTGGATGAAAACTTAATAGAACACTAGGATATCATTATTTATTCTTAGCCCTCTGCAGAAGGCTCCCTCGATTTGGGCGGAATTATGAATTTGATCCGCTACTGAAGTTCGTCACGTGAAAATCACAGGTGAAGACTTTTTTCCCCCTGTTCATTTCAAGATTTTTCCCCCTTCATCCCGCTCTTTCTCTGTGCACAGTAAAAATACACTTAGTATCCATTATTTCAACGATGCATTGCTGAATACAGATCCATTTCATTATAGAGAATTTGGGTCAGTCTAAGAATTTGATATTTAGCTTGCAGAGTAATTAGGATTTTTTTTGAAGCAGGAGAAGAGAAAAATGTGCAATGCTCTCGCTGGGAATCGAACCCGCGCATCTCTCAAATACGCGCCGAGTGTGCTAACAATTACACCACGAAACCATGTTGAAAGGAAGGAAAAAATAAGAAATTGTGCCAACAAAAGTAGGTACTTTTCAAGAAAAAAATGAAAGATATTTTTTATTGCAACAGTATTAATAAATGTTAAGTATATTGTAATGTTGCGCGGCCCCAACCTGCACGCAACAATAGTGTTTGACTGCTATGAACTGGAAAGTACACAAAGTCTTGAGAAGTGTTTAAATCCCTTTTTATTCAACTTTAGAAATTACAGATGCGTGCTCTTGACGCTCACAAACTACGCCGACCCGGCGGTAAAATAAAAATAAGAAATTAAAAATGAATGATAACAAGTGACTACCTACGAGGCTCTCTAAACGTAACTAACCTAACCGCGTTCTAAGGTACCGCTGATATTTTAGCAAACTTCTGAATATTAAGTTGAAAGATTCACCTATCTGCCGAGGCAAGCACACAGGCCGAAACGCGTGATTCTTCAATTTCTACCTAGCCACCTTTACGCTCGTGAAGCAAGAAAGCACACTTTCGAACTCGTTTCCCTTCTATTTAACTCAGAATACTTCCGCTGACTATTTTGAATACTTTGCGCGTTCTACTAAAATTTACATACTCTGGCATTGGCAATTCCAGGGGAAAGTAAGGCTTGACAGGAAAGTTGGTTTAAACTTAAAATAAATGTTAGTTAAAATAAATATAAACCCTACATTTGCCGCTGCCAGAATTTGGTAAACTTGGAAGTAGGTCCTAGAAACGACCTGTTGAAGAGTTTCCATATTCTGAACTAAAATTTAGGAGCTTCGTTTACATAAAAAAAAAAAAACTGTTTTCTCACAAAAGTTAGAATAAATTTCTGTAGATAATTATTTTACCCTCTCTTCTTACAGCAACCTTTCCTGGACTTCAGCAATCAATCTGTTCTCTTCCTTCAATATTATAAATGAAATACAATTTAAATTTGAACAAGGACCACAAATTTAGAGATGTCTTGAAATATTTAAAGAAAAACGAATTATTTTGTTCATGCAGTCGTCGCCGCATAAACTGTAATAAGCATGATTCAAGATGGTAGCAAGAGGTGCCACATTGGCGTTTATTACGCCATTTTGGGGCCCACCAGCGGCCGAGCGGTAAAGTCGCTGAACACTGGTAGTTCGGTCCGAGGTTCGAATCCCGCGAACGGGCTGGCTGCATGGGCGTTTTCGTGGTTTTCCCCATGTGTAACGTGCATACGAGCCAGTTTCCCTTAGAAAGTCCTCCACGAAGGCATCCCTCCCCTTAGGCAGATAGCCCTCGAGGCTTTGCCATAATCACACACACACACACACACACACATATTACGCCATTTTTGCCTTCCCCGCATTATTTCAACTGCTTGCGTTATACATCCAG